GGGGGGGGGGGGGGGGGGGGGGGGGGGAAGGCAGACAAGGGGTGCGCGCATGAAAGGTTGCAGTGGGATACAGAAGATACGGGGGGGTCCGCACGCAGTCAGGCTACATAGCGTCGGCCTTACAGTATCATCATCGGGCGACAAGGAGATAGGGCTGTTAAGCCGGAATGTTCGCTAGCCGCAACAGTACTTGGGTGCAACAGCCTCGCAGATGCTGTACAACGGTTGTAGCACCATCGGACGACCATCATGCGGCGGCAAGTTGGTCGAAGAAAGCTCGGGACGGCCACCCGCCCGCCCGCAAGAAAGCTAACAAGGAAGGAAGGGAAATCGGAACTCGGGGGCAAAGCATCAAGGAAGGGCGTGCCGTACAGCCGCAACAATACCCTCTCACTCGGCTTGGATCCGTCCATCATGGCGTCCGGGCGAACGAAGAGGTAGTCGTAGTCCTTCACCTGTGTAATAAACACCGCGGATCGCTGTTGTTGTTGTTGTTTGTGAGTGAGGAGGTATGGGGAGAAGCTCTGTATATTATGTGCCATGTCGGGATTGTGCCCGTTTTCTCTCTTTCTTTCTTAGTACACAGCGCAACTAATCTATCTTTATCCATAGATACGAAGAGCGCGTACGCGAGGGGGGTTCGTGGCCGTTATCATCGCCACGCTGTCATTAGGAGAGCAACATGATGACTTTACTGCTGTGCCATGTAGGACAACAGCGCCATGGGGCATACCGTCGGCAGCACTTTGTCTCAACAAATGCCCGCGAGAACATGGACAAACGAGACAAGCAGTGCAACGACACACGAAGGGAACATGCTTGACAAAGACATCCCTCACAAAACGCCCGTGCAGCAGTCAGTACATACGCGAGAGGAGAGACTCGCCTTGAAGCTGGTCACGCAGCCGCCGAGGGTGAACACCTCCGCAGACGCATCGCCGGAGCTGATCGTGAGTTTCTTGAGCCCGCTCTCGTCTTAGCACGAGAAGAGGGGGGTTTTCGCGATAACATCACACCATGAACACAGAGAGAGCGTCACACACACAAGCAGTGGAACATCCGAGGGGGGGGGGGGCGTACTCATTTGTTGCTTGCCTTAGTCATTTGACCATTGACCACGCGTCCCTTTCGAGACGGAGCACCTCGGATGGGGGAGGTTAGTCCGAGGCGTTGAGAGACGTGTGCAGCAACCGGGGCAAGGGGTGGTAAGTGGAGCATTGGAAACACCTGAATTAGTGTGCTTCTCTCAGTATCGAGGCAACAGCTGCGATGCGAGATAAACACCACACCACGGCATCACTGACTGCCGTAGATTTATCCAGGGGCCTTGCTTGGTCGAAAGCATTCTGCGCTGGGTGAACGCTGGCGTTGGAATCCAAGCGCGAGACCTCCGCTTTAGAATACGCAGTGCAGTATCTTTAAGAAAATAGTCTATAGATGAAAATACAGAAAGCCCATCCGTTCGAGTACAGTCAAAAAGGATGTGCTGAAAGACTAGACTATCTGCTGTACACTGAATTGTACCAGTGATGACAGCTGGTACCAGTGATTCACAGCTGGTGCAAAGTACAAAAGCATCTGCACCAAAAAATACGTACAGATAGGTAAAATAGTTCTCTACTGGGTCAACGACAAAATATCGGGGAGAAGCCCTCCGTTATGTTGTGTGTTACAAAATGGGCACACACGGAACAAGGCACAGAACAGCAGTATTTGCTGTTGAACGTATGCGTATGCCGCAGTAATTGAATCTATCATCCGTTTTGAATTTTAAAAAACAGGTCATTTGTGCTTCGGAATGTTTGCATCCATCTGTCCTTGTCTTGCAGGGTAAATGTCCGACATTATTAGGATGTGCATTGCACCTCTGAAAACACCCAGAGAGTTGGAGGTGCAATGGGAGCGCCTACTGCAACTGCTCCCAGCGAAGCCAGCGAGACACAGCAGTACAGCAGGTAGTATGCATACAAACACATACAGTACCAAGAGAACAGCGTGAGTGAGAACGTGCGTACGAAGAAAACCGGATGCGGCGGATCATCCGCGGATCATGTAGTCTATGTAGTATCTGGTTCCATCCTGCACAACAGTTCACAAGTCCGGAGTCGAAGGTACAGCCGGTGCGGTAAATCTTGCTCCAGCGGCAAGGACGCACAGGTGAGTGATCGATCCTCATGCCGTCCACATACACATGGCCCTATTGTACGGCGGTGTTTGCTGCACCCAGAGAACAACCCTCACTTGTGCCCTCGGTCGCCATCCTCGCCGGCGTGCTGCGCATGTTGTGAGCCTGCTGCACCGGCACCGGCACGTGGAAACCGGCTACATCAGTGAGCTGAAGGCCCAGGAAACCGAAAGCGGCCAAAGTAGTGGAGTGCATGGTAACAGACTGCGTTCTTGTTGTGGCTTTGTGTGACACAGACCGGGCACAGGAGGCGCCAAAATGCGTTGCAGGGGCTCCGTGACAAACTGCTCAAAAGCTGGGCTGGCACCCCCCCCCGCTCAACGGAGGTTCTGTCAACTTCGGAGTACCGTTTCATTTGTGCTAGGATCCCGGTGTGGGGAAGAGATCTAACCTTGCTCTCTAGCTCCCCTGACGAGGGGCGAATGGGAAACGGGAATACTAAACCTCCCCTGGGGCCCGCGGAGTTTGGACCGGAGGCCGAAGAGCTTGCAAAAGGGTAAGCAAGCTTCCTATTTCCTATTGCTGAAAAAAATGATGAAAATTGAACATCGTATGTGTTGTTCCTCTTTGAACATGCATCACCATATCTTGCGTGACACACACCGCCATGAAGTCGTACACGAGATCTCGACAGCGACCTGCCTAGATACCACGCAGAAGAAAGGTGGATCATGCACGACGGGTAGATGGAAGGAAGGCTTTCATACATATTTGCATTGTTTTTTACGATCGATCGGATGTGGTGTACACTACTGCATTTTAGACTACGAATACGTCTACAGCAGTACAGCGATGTCATGGTTGTACGGTATAGTGGTCTATTGGCGATCAAACTGTAAGGGGGTACGGGATGCGTTGGTACCATTGGCAAGCAACAAACTCATCGTCATAAGCTTCGAAGCATGCGATCTCTGTCGTTCTCCGCAAAGATTTGGCTGTGGCACAGCAGTATACAGTACATAATCGCGGGCTATATCTTGCCACACAGCAGTACATAGTCCAATATGTATACCCACCATTCGACCCGCACTCGCTTGTTCCAGTCTCAGCAGGCAGAAATCAGCGTCCGCACCACGCGTCAGCAGCAAACGACACGCACCATTCGGAGACTCAAACGCCGCCACATCAATCGGCAGCAGCACCAAAACCGACAGCAGAGGCAGCGCTCCTACCACTGTCACCACCAGCAAGGACCGCCTCGTGGCACCATCCAGCAACCCGCTTCCGCCGGCGGCTTTCTCGACGCCGTCGTTGCCTACGAAGAAGAGCGGCAACACCATCCCGAACATTGCTTCACCCGTGCGGGCTGTCTTTTCGGCATCCTTGGAAAGGTCCCTCGGCAAACGTAGGCCCGGCGGACTCCGTTGTTCGTCGTCGTGGACATCGGGTAAGCTCACTCGCGACACCGAGGACGCCAATACCACCCCCGCCGCCGCCGCCGCCGCCCCAATCGCATCCTCGTCCTCATCATTGTCACGAAGGAGGCGGTGGATGCAAAAGGCTGGGGACGGAGTGGACCAGACGATCACGGCCACAGGGCGGCAGACATCGTCAACCGCACCGACACCGGCCACGACAACGTCGACAACAACAATAACGAGACAGGACACGAAGAAGGAGCGAAGGAGGAGCGTTTCACGTACTTGGACGGAAGCTTCCCGCCAAGGCCAGGAGGACAAGGCAAAGGAAGCGACAACGAGATCGGGTTCCAAGACCCACAGGTGGGAGGGCTTGAGGAGAAACCGTCTCGCGTCGCCTTCCAGACTAGATATCGGCGTCGACGGAGACTCCGTCACGGTTGTGGAGACAATTGCAGATATCGTCGACAACGACGACGGCTTGCCCGAGGACTCAGAGCAGCAATGCCAAAGGGACTTGGTGCGGCCATCGCCGGCTGTGGCCGACTCGTCTATCGAGCCCGTCGGAGATCGAGGTAAAAAAACGGCGGGCGGGGCAGCAACGAAGGAGGAGGAGCAAGGCAGCCATTCGGGGACTGGGGGCAGGGAAAGTCAACACCCCCCTCGCGGTATTCGTAGAAGCGGTGGGGGCAATCAGAGGGGCACCCTGCCCATGGTCAAGTGCTGGGAAGGAAACTCTTTCGCCAAGGAGGGGAGAAAGGGGGGAGGGGGAGAGGAAGAAAGAAGGCCGCACGGAAGGCCCATGAGGTCCCGAAGCCACGCGGACAAGACATTCCTCCAAAGGACGTCGTCAGACGCGAGGAACCCGTCGTCGTTTGTCGTCGTCATTGATGGCAAGAACATCCGCAACGACAACAGAATGGAGGCAGGCAGCGCCGGCGTGGCGGCGACAACGACCGAGAGCGGGGGAGGAGCGGCCTTCGGACGGGCATCGAGCGAAGGACTTCGTGTCCGGCAGCCGGGGGGACGACGAGCAGGAATGCGGGCAGTGCGCGGAGGCGGCGGCGGCGGCGGCGGCGGGACCTTGCCCTCTTCAACAGCAGACGGCGACCGAGTACCGGTGCACGGGGGGGCTTCTACCGCCTCGTCGACGTCTCCTCCTCCGCAGCTGCAGCTCCCGGTGGCCTCCGCGGAAGATACGACGTGCTTCGACCTCGCGGAGAGCCGGAGCGTCTCCAGCGCCAACAGCGCCGGCGTGGTCCAGGAGCAGCTGTCGGTGTGTTCCTCCTTGCCGCCCATGGGTGGCACGGGGAACGGGACGGGGGGCGCGGGGGGGGGCGCCGCGACGGCGACGGACCTGATCTTCGAGGAGTCCTCCTTCGAAGACAGCGTCGCCTCCGTGTCGCAGGCCTCGTCGGCGGAGAGGTGCGGCATCGAGGCGCTCGGTAGCGGCAGCGACGCGAACGGCGAGGGCGGCGGCGGACGCGGCGGCGGTGGTGGCATCGGAGTGCGAGGAGGGAAACGAGGGAGAGGAGGCCCCGCTCCGCGACAACGCAGCCGTTCGTCTTCTGATGAGTTTGTGCGGACCAGGTGCGATCGAGCATACGACAAGGGTTGGGGGGGGGGGTTACAACGGCAGGAGGAGACATGTTCTACGCAGTTTGATTGTAATCGTGCGCTCTTTCGGCTGCGTGTTGCTGGAAGGTGTTGTGCTCTTGATGGAGAATTCACTCGAGGAGGAGAAGTCGTCAATTAGGATTCACGGAGGAAAAGGCGTCCGTGCGCTCCGGCTCGATATATCTGTGAGACAGACGTCGCGCAACTCCACAACTGTGACCCTTGATGACAGACAGCGCTGGCCTGTCTCAGCCCGCACGGACATACACAGCAAAGAATATCCCCGCACGTGAGTGCTGCCTGCAACGCATATGTAGTTTAGGGTGCTAATTAACTGGTGCCACAATTTTTCACCGCTCGTTTCGACGAAACATCAGGTCTGTCGGGCGTGGCTTGTCTAACCTTATGGCGCGGATCCACGAGCAGGATGAGTTCGGGGGGAGCACGCTGGAGTCCCAATGGAAACCCCGTCCGCGTGACCTAGACTCGAGGTACGAAGAAAATCAACGCATTATCCGGCGGTGTGATACTTCCGTCTGTAACCACATGTGAGATTGACCCAGGGTTGATGATACTGTTTTGTTCTTGGAATGGTCCCGGGGGGGAAAGTCATGAAGGGGGCGGAGGCGCTGAATGGTCATATCCCCGCGTTGTCGCCGAAGATGATGTGTGCGTGCTGTGCGGGGTGCGAACTCAAAGGTGACATCGGAATGCCTGGTACGGACTGTAGAAGCGGGGTCCTTCCCGCCGAGATGGTCCACTAAGCATCTTTCAATGTAGCCCTCAACTTACGCTACAAAGGGCGTAGTACAACACAGAATGCGATCGATCCGGCTTGGCTTTCATCGACGAAAACAAAACACGCCCCGCCCTGCCCCTCGCCGTACCTCGACCGCCTGCAGGTCGGGCACGGGAGAGGTCTTCCGGGTGCAAGAGCTGTCGGACTGTGACGAGGATGGGCTAGAATCCGTGTTGACGACCTCCTCACCACCGGCGGTAACGGTGGCGGCGGCCGCCACCGTCGCGGCCGCAAACATGGGGCATCAACGGGCTTCCCTGGAGCTGCGGAACTTGGCACTTGAGCGCGAGGTGAGTGTGTGCCGCCGAGCGATGCGCCGGGCGGTGATTGGTCTATGCAACAGCGGCAGACAACACAGGCCGCAGGGGCCATGGTACTTCGCGGCGATTGGTCCACCAAATATACGGCCGGTACACGCTTTTTCAGCTCGCTCATACGCTGGTGTCGCCGCTTTGTGGCTCCCCACTCGCACACGTGATTCTGCTTGTTCGCTTTCGCGGTCTTTGGGGGACATCCTCTTGTGCTACTGTACCATTTTGCACAACAACAGACCCACGAAATTCCATGTCGACTAGAAGGACCAGCGTGGTGTTTGCAAAAACTCTCCGCGCGCGCGCGCCACAGCACAGTTGTTCTCATGCGCATCGTACAATACTTCCCGGCAGGTAGAGCAGCTCAAGACCTACCTCCGAAGCATGGGAGGCGATGACGTCATCAACACCGACCGTCATCTCCACGGCGTGCGCCCCAGGCCTCGGCCACACCAACAACAACGCGTCGGCGAGCAGGTGCTTCTGCACCATTCGGCCGCACCCCCTCCCGTCTCAGACCCCCCTCCTTCAATCACTCACCGGAGCGGCGGCGGCAGCGGCAGAAACGGAGGTAGCAGCTGGAGAAGCGGCGGCGGCGGTGGTGATGTGACCGCACGAGGCAAGGCCGACGACGTCGGGCGAGCGAGAAGATGGTCGGACAAATGGAGAGGAGGCGGGGCGCCGGACCCCTCAGCCGTCGTAGTACATGCCGGCATGCACTCTCCGCGCGCGGCGGGCGAGCCGGACAGCGGTGCTGCTACCGCGCAAGACGAGACCACCGTCGTCGTACACGCGCAACAACAGCCCGCTCCTTCCCCTCCGCGAAAGCGCGGCGGCGGTGGCGGCGGCGGCCACCGGGCGTCGGCCGCGGCGGCAACAGCGGAGTCCCCGGCCACTTCCTCTCCCGTGAGAAAGCTCCGATCGGACAGGCTGCGCTCGCCGGTTTGCGCCGCTGGTGCCTCGGTGGCCCAAGCGCCACCCCAGCAAGGGGGTGTGGGCACCGACACCGTGCCGTTGCTGGAGGCGACGGGGGTCGGCGCTCTCGACGGGTTTGGGGGAACGAGCAAGAGCGACCACCGGGATGAGGAGGAGAAACCTGTCCTTGGGGGTAAGCTCGTGCGTTCTTGGACGTGTTCGATGGTTTGTTCGTGAGCTTCGGCAAGATGTCAATTGCTGCGGATCTTTTGCTACCGGCCTGTGGTCGTGCAGCAGCAACAACGAACGAAAGAGCAACAGCAACACAGAAAATGGGGACCGCCATGCACAGAAAAAACACAAAACATGAGACTCTCGAGGAGAATACCAAGAGATATCACGCACAACAGTGCGGAGAAACAGAATACACCATCGTGCAGCGAGAGCGACAACGGCGCGACGAAGCACTCATGTGCTGAGAACACGAACGATGTTGTTGCGACTCCAAACTCGTGGATTGACGACCGGCACGACCGCATGTGGGTCGCAACAAATGGGTACACCCCGTCCCTTTCACGAGCAGCATTGATTGAAAGCTTTGGACAGATAGACCGACCTAACCAACACCATCCACCCTTACCCGCCTTGCCTTTTTCGTTAGATTCCAGGCAAACGCCAAGACACGATTTGTCCGGCGAGGTCGGCGAAAGTCGGCCGTTGCCTCGGCTGCGGGTGGAGGAGGCGGAGCGGCGGCGGGGCGTGCCGGGAAAGGCACGACCAGCCAAGAAGCCGATGAATCTGGGGGGCATGGTGTCGGGGATGAAGCACACGCTTCTATCCCGAAGGTGAGACACTTGCCGTCATACACGAAACGCTGTGATGTGCACAAGGCTCAGGCTTCTCTTGCTGACGGCAGCAGGGATCGGCCGTCCTTCTGGATGGGAGGCTCTCGGCCCATCTTTCAAGCCGGCGGAACGAAAAAGCACTCCCCGGGTACATACATACGTACGTGTGCGCGTTTCTTCGCATCTTACGGCATTTCCCCTCTCGGCTGGACTCGAGCACGTCGCGTGAACTTGACACGCGAACTGACGTCAACATTTCAAATTCATTCTATGTAACCACTTGTAGACGTGGTACTGGATTAGACATCAGAACGCTTTGCAGGCGTGAACGAAATAACACCAACGACACCGACGAACAACTCACCCTGCGTGAGAGCTACACACATACATGGCCAGCTGCGGCGGGTTCTTCCGACGATCGACGTTGCCATCGTATCCTCAACCCCTTGTCACCTGCTGGTGTTCTCCTCGTTCCCTGCCCAGACGAAGCGCGGGGGACAAAGTCACGCCACTTGTCGTCCCAGCTGGCACCCGCGCCTCCCCTGCACCCACACCCGCCGCTAGCGGGGGTGGCGGCGGCGGCAGCAGCGGCGGCGGCAAGGGAAAGGAAGTCACCTTTGCGGCGGCCGATCCCGACGCACACGACTCTGCCACTGCCGACGACAAACACGAGACGACAAACACAGAGCAAACAGCGGGCAAGACAAAGCAACGCGGCTCTCACCGTCGAGCACGGGGAGGAGAGAGAGGCTCGGCGGTCTCCTCCTCCTCTCCCGTGCCCCCACAAACGGCATCGACCGCAACCGGCACCACAACGACCATGGCAAAAGAGCGCCAACGGGGACCGGGGGTGTTCGGAGGACCAACTCGAGGAGGGCGAGGGGGGGGGGCAGGGGAGGGAACCCCGGCATCAGGAGCATGCGCAAAACAAGCGCTCACCGAAGGCATCTCATCAGCGACAACGGCCACGCTGCCGTTTGAGCATCTGCCCACCGAAGCTTCTGGAGAACAAGGGGTTGAAACAGTTACGGAAGGGGTTGCTGGGACGTCGGCACCCGCAGCGGCTACGGCGGTAGTGGCGGCAGTAGAGGCGGGAGCAGCGGCCGCGGACGAAGCGGAAGACATCGCCGAGAATAGCATGCCCGTTTACGGACGGTGGCCGGCGACCCTCGATGCGAGATGGGCGGAGGTTGAGTTCATGCTGTGCCACGAGGTGGATTGCGAGGAGAGCCTGCAGTACACTATCGAGGCGACAGAGGCGGGGTTAGTCTTCATGGACAAGCTGGAAGAGAAAGCACAGGTGCTAAATAACACTGTGCTAGCCAGGCGTTGTTGAGAAGGAAAGCGTGTCAACAACGCAAATAACGGTGTTGCCTCTGCGTGGGTAAGATAGGGCGGTTGTCTGTGTTCGAAGGACAAACAAACCGGTTGTGTCGTTGAATACATTCAGCAATGGCGGGCCAACCGCGTCGCTGCTGACCGAGGATACGACCGCCGAATCTGTGGTGCTTGATTCATGGACGTTGCAATACTTCAGATGACCTATGTACGCTTCGTAATGGTTTCTTCAACGTCGTGGGTATTCAAGCATGCTCTATAATAGTCAAAACACCACGGAAATGTACAACTGATGACACCATATATTGTCCTCCATCTCCCCTTCCGCCCTTTCGAACCGACCAGGAGTTGGGCGTGCTCAAGGGCCAGCTAAGCCGCTGGCTACTCCCCTTTAACGCCGATACGTCCGTGGAGGAACAGCAAGCCGCCACCCCGCGACGGTTCCAGGAATCTTTGCTCGCGTCGTCGGCGACCTCCGGCACCGCGGGCAGCGTTGGCGGTGGCGGCAATAGCGGCGCTAGTAGCGGTGGCGACGGCGGAGGCAGAGGTAGCGGCAGCGGTGGTTTGACCGAGGAGGAGGCGGAGTATCTTACAGACGGGGCGCGTAGAGTTCGGCAGCTGGTGAGGAAGGGGATTGGGGCAGACTGTTAACAAGCGGTTCGTGTGGGTTTGTGAGGCGGCCAGCATGGAGTTGGTCATTCTGAGGACTCGATCGGCGTATGTCGCTCGTCGTTGATTGCGCGCCATATGCGGAGGGAGGCATCCGCAGCTGTGGCGCATTTCGCTTGCCCCTGCACACCTCTGGTAACAGGTCGTCCCCTCGGAACATGTCTGGTGCTCGCCTCTCCAGAGGCACACACACGGCTAATTATTCGTTGAGCCCAAGTTATGTCCAGCTGGACGAAACTAACTGCTGCTGCTCCGCCCAGGTGAGACTAAAGATCGCCGACGACAACGACCTCAACACCGCTAAGGAGGCCCTGATAACCATGTCAGGCTTTTTTGTTAGCATCTCCGAGGAAGCGGCGAAAAGAGGCGGCGACGCTACAGCCTTCGGCGTCCTCCAGGTTAGTACGGCTGGTCGTGATCGTTGCTCTTCTCAAATGTTTTTCTTGCTGGGAAACACAACAGAACGGAAGCGGACACAGATGACCGTGTGGTCTCCTCCTTCACCACCGTCCCACGAAAACTACAAAAACCAAGACTTCCCGTCGACGATGTGTGCTTCGTATCTTCTTATCTTATCTTGTCGTACTCTCCGGTGCGGTGCCTTCCATAATTGCAGGAGCGGCGCGCGATGTCTCCTATCATGCGCCCCCCGCCCCTGCCCAGCATTCCGCGACAGGCACCACCAACGGCAACAACAAGAGCAACCGACCATCACCACTCAGCTACGTCTGTGTCCGCCACGACAAAACATACCGACCTCCAGAAGCTAAGCGATTGCGATGGGCGAGGGGGATCGCGCACCCCGGCCTCTACGGACACGTCGGCGTCGGTCGGACAAGCCACAGGCCTGACGGGGGCTCGGCAAGGAGATCGCAACAACATCACCATCATCGGTGGTGGCGGAAGAATGCCGGAGGCAAACGCGCCGTCGTCATCGGGCGACAAGAACCGCGACGACGACGACATTGATGAGGGTGGTGTGCCTTTCCCCACGGCTCGAGCACCAGCGGCGGGGAAGTCGGACGCGGCATCGGTTGCCCACGTTGACGAGGCTGCTGTAACTGCTGCAGCCGCTACCGGTAGTGGTGCCCTTTCGAGCGCGAACAACCCGCTGACGACGGGGGAAACGAAAACGTCGGCGACGACGGCGACACCCACTGAGCTTACTCGGACTCCTCGGGACAGCAGCAGCAGGAGCCAGGAAAAAACGGCAGCAGAAGCGGCGGCAACAAGAGCAACGTTAAAAACGACGACCGCAGCAGCACACACCTCCGAGAGACCAGGAGCGCTACGAGGAGTGGGAGGATCTCGGCAGCAGGCGCGAGTTGCCGGGAAGGCAACAATTGGTGTAAGCAGAAGTAGTCGTGGCCGATCGTCGACGTCGAAAGACCCCTCGTCTACGACGACGCCGTCCGCCGATATCGCTGGTGGCGAGCGGGGGATAGCCGCGGTGTCAACGGCGGCGACCGTACCGTCTGGCTTAGTAGAGCACAGCCCTCGGTACGGCGCCGGTGGCACCAGTGGGACAGCAGTAGAGGTGGCGCCCGCGGGGTCTCTCGTGCGTCTGAAGAGGAGGCAGCAGGCCAGGGCCCGTTCTACCAGCCAGCGCTGATTTTTTAAGGTGTTGGGGGGTGCTGTCAATGTCTGTAGCGCCACTAGACCGGGTGTACGTATGAGACTTGTGTGTTTGCCTGTAGAATAGTAGGTGGAGGTCCGCGAATGAATGGTGTTTCGTGTACAACAGTGTTGGTGTGGATCTGGTGAAGGGGAGGTATAGAGAAAATTAACGTCACCCCCTCCTTGTGACAACTCCTTGGTCACGACAGCTGCCCTACACGCCTTCGTGTGCCCTAGAGGGTTAGACTGTTGACGACAGCCAGACAATCATAGATATCTATGTGGTTCGAACGTTCGAACAGAGTCGTCTGTGGTCAAAATCGACAAGGTTTCGGAGGCTTTTTTCATGCACTCCGCCCGACCTTCACCCACGCAGACAATACCAAGCGGCCCGCATCCGTCATGAGGACACCAAATCAACAACAACTCCAAACGGCCATTCTCCGTACAAAGCTTTTCAATCTCGCAAAGTCAGTTGGCACCGGCCACATCCCGTCAATACCACGACTACACTCTCTCCAAAGGTGGCCACAACATAGCTGTTGCCACCAGGAAAACAGCATCAACGGTCACCGAACAGGGTTGTCCCCAAGCGTATGAGCCACTCCCAGAGGATGCCACTCTATCAACCGCCTTGGGAAGTGAGAGGGGTCTCAACGTCACGGGAATAACAAATACCTAAACACAATGGTTGCTCACACCTCCCTCACCCCCGACGCGCACACGTCCGTCTATGGGAGGGCACATTTAACCGGCCAACACCCGACAATACGCAGCCCCGTCCACTAGCTGGGTTTTCCCCCTCCCCCCCCCCCCCCCCGAGCGCGCCCTGCATAATACACCAAAAAATATCCTCCGCCCGCTCAATGTGCCATGCCTCGACACAGACTCAACCTTTATCGTTCCTTCGACACCATCTCAAGGGCCAATTCATTCAACGATAGAGA